TTTCTTTTTCCTCTCTCTTCTCCTTTGGGAGTGAACTGGTTTCCTCTGGAAGCTCTGCCTTGGGGTTTGGCGGGGAGCCAGGCCTGTTGTGTGTGTGTGTGTCTGAGAGGACAATCTTTGAGCCACAAAGGAGAGGCATCAGCTGACCAGAGTGGAGGAAGGAGTAGAGCATTCCTCCAGCTACAGGGTTCCTGTGGGTGGGCTGACAGGGACACAGCTGGTTGGCACTGCACATATCGTGTGATCTTGCGTGTGAGCGTGCACACACACACGCACACATACATCACTGTTTCCTTTGGCTCTATATCCTTCTTACTTCTCTGCCAGCCTCCTCTTATTCTGCACACATCACCCCTCTCCTTCCTCCCTTCCCATTATAACCACAGAAAACAGTCCCCCAGGGGAGGAACTCTGTATCAGGGCTCTTTTTTTAAGCAGGGCAGTACGTGGTGGGACTTTTAAAGATCTGGCTCCAGGCTTTGGTCCTGGAAAAGGAGGCTCACCCCCTCATCACTTGTCTCCTGCCTGATCTCTCCTCCCTTCCCTTCTTACCACAGAGAGAAGGTCCAAAGGCCAAGTAGATTGTAGTTCTCATTTATCATAAGTGCTGTCCCCCATATTTCTCAGGCTGCTCTATAATCTTTAAGCACAGTCATAATTTTAAAATATCACTGCATATATAATGTTATATTTCCTTCATACTTCCACCCTTTCCTTCTTCTCTCTTCCATAAACTTAGAGAATCAGGTGTATGTCAGACCCTGGGTTCATTTTTTTTCTTGCGTCTCCCCTATTTTGACACTTAAAACTTTAAAGTTATTTGATGCCTGTGATCCAATATAATTACAACTCATTTTTTAAAAAATGTATTTATGCACCTGGCAGGTATGGCTCAGTGGTTGAGCATTGACCCATGAACCAAGAGGTCATTGGTTCAATTCCTGGTGAGGACACATGCCCAGGTTGTGGGCCTGACCCCCAGTGGGGGGCATGCAGGAAGCAGCCAATTCGATGTTCTTTCTCATCCATGTTTCTGTCTCTCTCTCTAAAAATCAATAAAGAGCCCTGGCCAGTTTGGTTCAGCGGTTGGAGCGTTGGCCTGTGATCTAGAGAGACCCGGGTTTGGTTCCCGCTAAGGGCATGTACCTCAGTTGCAGTTTGTCCCAGGCCTTGGTTGGTCATGTGGATGGCGGCCACTCGATGTGTCCCTTTCACATCGATGTTTCTTTCTTTCTCTCTCTCTCTCTCTCTCTCTCTCTCTCTCTCTCTCTCCCTCCCTCCCTCTCTCTCTCTTCCTCCCACTCTATCTGAACAAAAAATGGGGAAAAAAATGTCCTTGGGTGAGGATAAAAAAAATTTTTTTTTAAATGTTTTTATTGATGACAGCCATTCTGACAGGTGTGAGGAGATATCTCATTGGGTTTTAATTTGCATGTCTCTGATGATTAATGATGTTAAGCATCTTTTCATATGTCTATTGGCCATTTGTTTATTCCGGAGAAGTGTATATTCAGGTCCTTTATCCCCTTTTAAAAAAACATGTTTTCATTGATTGTTTTAGAAAGAGAGGAAGGGAGAAAGAGATAGAAAAACTGATATGAGAGAGAAACATCCACCAGTTGCCTCCTGTATGCTCCCTACTGGGGATCAAGCCTGAAACCTGAGCATGTGCCCTGACCAGGAATCAAACCAGGACCTCTCAGTCGATGGGCTGATGCTCAATCCACTGAATCACACCAGCCGGGTGCAACTGATATTTTTTTAAAGGCTTTCTATGTTTAGGAATAATGGTAAAGAGCAGGTCAGTATTATTTTATTTATTCTTCATAATAAATTTCTGGGATAGTAATTTTAATATAGTATTTCCATTTTATAGATTATGAAATGGAAGCTTAAGAATTAAATAAGTTACCCAGGACCACATAGACAGAAAGTGGCACAGTGAGAATTTGAACACAAAAAATCAGAAAGCAAAGCCCATGCTCTTTTTTTTTTTTTAAATCCTCACCTAAAGATATGTTTTATTGATTTTTAGAGAGAGAGGAAGGGAGAGAGAGAGGGACATCGATGGTTTGCCCCCAGTATGCACCCTGACTGGGGATTGAACCCACAACCTTTTGGTGTATACAGGATGATGCTCTAACCAACTGAACCACCCAGCCAGGGTCAAAACCCATGCTCTTAACCACCATAGGATTCTGGCTCCCAGTGGACTGTATGTTATGTGAGGCAAGACCCTGCCTATTTTGTTTATAACTAAATCCCTACATCTAGCACTGTACCTGGCACATAGCGGATGTTCAATAAATATTGTTGTACGAATGAATGGATTGTAAACTAAGCCCTTGTTGCTATGTGGCCTGTAGAAAGAGGAGTCAGAGGAATATAGGTTTGGAAGCCAAACAAATCCAGGTTAGGTTAGAGTCTTTTCTTACGAGTGGTATGCCTCAATTTCTTTGTTTATAAAATGGGGATAATATACAGGCTACCCAGGATTTATGTGAGGTTTAAATGACATTGTATATAAATCAGTCAGCTCATGTGATAACATATAGCAAACTGAATAAATGGCATCTACCTATTATATGTGCATATACATATGATACATATATGTATTACATAGGTGGCTTCAGAAAGTTTTTAGTCGTATAGAGCCATTTCCCTATTATTCCACACTTGGGTTCATCTGTGGTTATTTGCAAACATAAGTTTGCTGTGAACAATTTTTTTTAAATATGTTTTTATTGATTTTTTAGAGAGAGAGAGATTGAAACATTGATGTGAGAGACAAACATTGATCGGCTTCCTCCTGCACGCTCCCTACTGGGAATCGAGCCTGCAACCGGGCATGTGCCCTGACTGGGAATTGAACTGGGACCTCTCAGTCCATAGGACGATGCTCAATCCACTGAGCCACCCCAGCCGGGCTTGCTGTGAACAATTTGTATATATATACCTGTTTTCTTGTGAGTTTCTCTTTCTTGATGGTATCTTTTGTGGGTGGTGGTACCTGAAGATGCAGGACATTTACATATTGATGTGGCCTTCACTATTTATTGCCCAACACATTCCAGATAGGAGAGGAAGATGGAGACAGGAGTAGATATGAGGGCCGATTGAGATGTGCACATGTGGTGGGATTTTTCTTTTTCTTTTTTTAAAAATCACTGTTGGGTTAATTTTTTTTAACATAAGGGAAAATTGCTTTCTAGGTGGCTAGCATCTTTTCATAAGTAGGAATGCTTTATTTATTTTTTTATCCTCACCAGAGGACTTTTTCCATTTTTTGTTCACATAGAGTGGGAGGGAGAGAGAGGAAGAGGGAGAGAGAGAGAAACATTGACGTGAAAGGGACACAGCGAGTGGCTGTCACCCGCATCACCAATCAGGGTCGGGGACAAACTGCAACCGAAGTACATGCCCTTAGCGGGAACCGAACACGGGTCTCTCTGGACCGCAGGTTGACGCTCCAACCGCTGAGCCAAACTGGCCAGGGCGGGATTTTTCTGATAACCACTACGCCTTACTTCTCAGTCCACTGGATGATGCTCAATCCACTGAGCCACACCAGCCAGATTTACACTTCACTTCTATATTTGGTAGCTGTCAAGCAGAGTGGGTCAGTCTCCAGGCACTGGTATCAGATAGGCCTGGGTTTGAATCACAGTTTCACTCTACTCACAAATGCGTGACCTGGGCCAATGAGAGAGTCTCAATCCAGATTTTCTCTTTTGTATAGTGGGAGTATTTATAGCTACTCTGTGAGGCTACTGTAAAGATGAGATAACACATGAAAAATATTCAGATTTAGGTCTGGCCGATAGTATGCATTCAGTAAATGAAAGTGATGGTATTAATTCCATAGGGATTTACTGTTTTCAACACATCTTCCCATCGATTTAATCCTGACATAAACCGTCTGAGACAGGTATTATTATGACTCCCATTTCACAAATGAGGAAACCGAGGCTTAGAGAAGTGAAGTGATGAGGCCAAGGCTGACATGGAGCTAACCGTCCGTGTCTGAGCAGGGATCCTAAACCAGGTCTCCAGAAGTCCAGGCCCAGAGCCCCATTTTTCAGTCCTCTTCTTTCACACCAGGAGTAGTTTTGGGTTCTTATCCAGACAGGTCTCAGTGTGGGACTTCAGACTTTTCTGTATTCGATTGTGAACAGAACAGGGAATTAACCTTCTAAACTCCCTTGGAACCCTAAACAAGGTTCCACCTTCTCTCTGAACCCTAAGCAGAGCCAGTCCCGCTCTCACCCCAGTAGCTTGGCCCGCAAGAGTAAGAAGCCACGCCCACACTAAGCCACGCCCACAGACCGAAGCTCCCGCCCCGTAGTGGGAAGCCAGCTTCTACGTCTCTCCACTGGCAACCGCGCTCACCGCTGGGTGTCTATCTCTTAAACTCAAGCCCTGACCGTGGTAGTCCAGCGCTCTACCATACGCAGTCCCGTCCAGAAGCCTTGCATCAGGATTCATATATCTTTTTTTTTTTTTAGAATATGTTTTTATTGATTTTTTAGAGAGAGAGAGACAGGAAGAGACAGAAACATCGATGAGAGAGAAACAATCATAGGCTGCCTCCTGCACGCCCCCTACTGGGAATCGATCTGGCGATCTCTTGGTGCTTGGGCAATGCTCAATCCATTGAGCCACACCCGCGGAGTTCTATGTGTCTTTTTCTTGTGTTCCTACGTGGGTGAGCTATGGTTCCGGACCCCAACGGCCATGCCCAGCACAGTGTCCCCTCCACAGAATCCTGGGGCTTCGCTCCCAGCACGAAGGCCCACCCCCTTTACGGCCCCGCGAAGCTTTCGCACCTCACTGGCTCCTATCCGTACTCCGTGGTCTCGCCCCGATGCCCTATGATCCCACTGCCCTAGTGGTCCCACGCTTTACCACCTTCGGATCCCGGGCCCCGCCCCAGCTCGGCTAGCTCGCCCACGGCCACGTCCCTCGCTGTTAGCCACACCCATATAGCCCCGCCCCCAGAGGCTCCACCCGCAGCGGCCGCGGGTAGGGTAGCGGCTGGCCCAGCCGGGCCCCGCTGCCCTCTGCCCTGGGCGCTCGGTTGGAGCGAGCTGGGCACTGCGGGGCAGGGCGAACACGGCGGCCCGGGGTCTCGTAGGCGAAGATGGCGTCAGGCAGGCGCGCCCCGCGCACCGGGCTGTTGGAATTGCGCACCGGGGCGGGCTCGGGCACCGGCAGCGAGCGGTGGCAGAAGGTGCTGGTTAGTCTGGCGGAGGACGCGCTGACCGTGAGCCCCGCCGACGGCTCGGAGCCCGGCGCCCCGCGGGAGCCGGAGCCCGCGCAGCTCAACGGCGCCACGGAGCCCGGCACGGCGCCCCCGCAGCTGCCCGAGGCGCTGCTGCTCCAGCGGCGCCGTGTGACGGTGCGCAAGGCCGACGCCGGCGGGCTGGGCATCAGCATCAAAGGTGGGCGAGGGGGCACCAAGGGAGCAGGGATCTCGGGGTCTGGCAGCATACCGAGGACATGGAGTTGGAGGACTTTTGTCTGGGGGTAAGGGGGTTTGAGAGGACAGAGGGATCCGGAGCACCAAGGTCGGAGAGGGTTTCAAGAGTCCTACGTCTCAGTGGAAAGGCACAGGTGTGGAGGGGGTTGGGGACGGACCAAGGACACGTGGGTGGGGAGTTTTATGTGGAGGCATAGAGATCTGAGAGCAGCTACCTCTCAGGGGTTCCATGGACATCAAGGACAAGATGGGCCCCAGGAAAGCAAAGGATGGAGAAAAGGGATTTAGGCCTGGGAGGTCACAGGGAGGGGGAAGTCCCTGAGACACAAACAAGGTGGGAGCTAGGGGTAAGGCCTGGAGTTCAAAGCACAGAGGGCATTGGAGATGAAGCACCTGCTGGACTCACAGGGGGCAAGGAAAGACATAGAAATCTGAGGACGCAGGAAGGCTGTGTACCTAGGCAGAAAGCTGGGGTTGAGTTTCCTGATCTGACTATCTCCACCTTGCACAGAATTGAGAGGGGGTGAACAGAGTGTTACTCCTGAGAGCTCTCAGCTTCCCATACTGACAGCTTTTTTTAAAGGGTGTATCCACACTGTGTTTGAGTCCAGGATCAACTGTGGGAACTCAAGTCACTTCCCATCTCTGGACCTCAGTTTACTCAACTCTATAATGAGTTTAATAATACAGCTGTGATAGTTCTGTGAGAACAGGAGTCTAAAGCACTCACCCTACCAGCACAGAGTAGGTACCTGGTTAATTATTGCTGTTAACTGAGAGGAAAAATGAAGGCCAGGAGAGATTCCCAAAGCAACCAAATGTAGTGCTTAAAATCCCTGCATATCCCCCCCTCCCCGTTGGGTTCACAATTCTTACCACAATTACTTCTCAGGGTCTCAGTCCCCAGCAATGAGCTATCTGCCTTGGGGAAAGATGTCAGCCATGGTATCAACCTGGGTGTGCATTGTTCCCTCTTCCTGGGGCTGGTTCTGTTCCTGTGCTTTCAGACTCTTTGACCTGGGGATGGTGGTGATTCTGCCCCCACTGTGTGCTGAGTATTGTGTTCAGTACTCTAGGCTCACAATTTACTTCATCCAGGCAACAAGTGGTAAAAGAGAGGGAGCATAATCATTATTTTGCAGGTGAAGAAACTGAGACTCAGAAAAGAAACAATTTTCCCAGGATCACACAGTCAATGAGTGGCAGAGCTGGGATTTGAACCTTAATTTGAACTCATGGAAGGACAAATCCCCATGTAGCCAACCAAAGGGGTCTAAAGAGGGAAATGGGAATCCAGGGAGTGGGTACCAGTCTTACCTCCAAACTCCAGCATGGGGTAGGGCAACAGGTCAATCCAGAAATTGTACACTGAATGTGTCAAAACAGGAAGGAATTTAGAGATCATATAGAGTTCCATTTTGCAGATAGACAGACTTGGAGAGGAGCAGGGACTTTCCAAGGTCACATAAAGTTATACCCTAGTGCCATACTTCCAGGTGGGAGTGAAGGTATTTTTAGGAGGCATCAGGGGAAATACCAGCTCCATTTTATTCTTCATGTATGTAGATTGGGCTCCTGTTGTCATCATCTTTTTTTTTTAATCCTTACCTGAGGATATTTTTTTCAAATACCTTCAGATAGAGTGGGAGGGGGAGAGAGAGAGAGAGAAACACATCGATGTGAGAGAGCACATCGACTGGTTGCCTCCCACATGACCCTGAGCAGGGCCGGGGACGAACTACAACCGAGGTACATGCCCTTGGCGGGAATTGAACCCGCAACTCTTTGGTCCGCGGGCTGACACTCTAATATCAGCCAGGGCTCCTGTTGTCGTCTTGACCTCCCCTCTAGGGTCCAGTCCAGCCCAGGCAGCTGGGAATGATCATAGTTTCACATTGAACTGAAGTGCCCAGCTTCAGGCAGAGCAGGGCAGAAATAAATAGAAACCCCTTCCTTTTCTAGGCCTCAAGCCCTGTGAAGAACAATAAGCAAGCTGTTGGGTCTGCATGGGAGTCAGGAGAGACTTCTAATCCTACATCTGCTGAAATTTGTTTTGTGACCTTAGAATAATGACCAACCCTCTCTGGACCACTAGTTCATCTTGTGATATCTAAGGGTCCTGTTTGCAGTCTGCCAAAGAGTTAGCAATATTGGTTCTGAAGCCAGGAGACCTAGGTTCAAATACATACTGGTTTTGCCACTTACTAGCTGGACGACGTTGGTCAAGGGGTTTCTCTCCACACTGAGCATGTCTGTGTGATTGAAGTGTTGTGAAGATGCAATGAAACATCATTGACAACATTTAGCGCAGTGTTTGGCACTTGTTTTTCTTTTTAATTTTTTCTTTTCTTTATTCAGTTTAGAGAGAAAGGAAGGGAGGGGGAGAGAGATGGCCACCTTCTGCATGCCCCCCACTGTGGATCAGGCCCACAAACTGGGCATGTGCCCTGGCTGGGAATTGAACTGGCAACCTCTTGGTGCATGGGTCGATGCTCAACCACTGAGCCACATTGGCTGGACATTTGGCACTTGTTATATGGAACTAATGTGAACTGTTATTACTATTCTTATTTTTCAAAGGATATTCAAGAGTTTAGCCATAAAGCAGTTCTGTAAAATGTATTAGTTTTTTTTTTTTTTTTTTCCTTCAGAGATGCAATTCAGATAGGCTTTTGAAATCTCTAGACTTTAAGGCTTTGGTTTCCAGTCTGGATCCTGGATTGTAAAACTTGGAGCCATGGCAATAGCTAATTCCATCGTAATGCCAGATTAGGGGGTTTCCCTCACTGTGGGAAAATTGCTTAAAATCCAAAATATTTAAGAAAAAGTTACTGAAGCCCCTTGTAAATTACTCAAACACTGGTGAACAACACTCAAAGTATTGAACGAAAAGATCCAGTGACCAAACTATAACATTATGAATTTAGAAAATGACGTTTTTTTCCCAGTGAGGAAACATGTCTTAACTCCTTTCCCAGTCCCAGAGCCTGTAAAGGTGAACACACCGGGGCTAGCTGGGGGAGAAGAGGAAAGTTTGTTCCAGAAGGAACTTTCTGAAGGATCATAAGGATTTCTAAATACGGAAAAGGGAAGAATAAATAACTTGTTGAAAGATCATATACAGTATGTTTTTCTAGGTCTAAAGAAAGAACAAAGCATGTTTAATGGAATCCAGCTTTTGGAAGCCATCAAAAAAGGAATTTCTAAGCAATTTCTTATACAATCTAGCTGTTTAAATGTGCATATAATCATTTTTCAGTCTGTATAAATAAAAGTTTTTTTTAACCTTCAAAAAATAAAAAAATATAAGACAGTTACTTATTATTATGAATGTCCCAAACTTCTGTGATTCTTTGCTGAAATCCTCTTTACCCTCTCATCTCCCCTTTCCCAGCACCGGGCTGGGCCCTGCAGGATGCCTTCAAAAATAATTTTGCCTCAACGTGACTCCCGAGCATTGCAGTGTCTGCCTCAGTTTCGTCCTCTTTCTGTGCCTGTGCAGGGGGCCGGGAGAACAAGATGCCTATTCTCATTTCCAAGATCTTCAAGGGCTTGGCAGCTGACCAGACAGAGGCCCTCTTCGTGGGGGATGCCATCCTATCCGTGAATGGGGAAGACCTTTCCTCTGCCACCCATGATGAGGCGGTACAGGTTCTGAAGAAGACGGGCAAAGAGGTGGTACTGGAGGGTAAGCACTAGGAAATCCAGGGTGTTTAGTTCTTCCCTACCTCCTTCAGGCCTCAAGCAGTGGGGACTGGGAGGTGGGCAGGGTTGAAAACAGAAACAGAACTTGGGTACCTACCTTGAGACAGCATGGGGTGGTGGGGTAGCCAGTTCAGAGCCAGACAGACCTGTTTTTATTTCCTCTGTCCCTCTTCCTACCTCTGTGGCCTTGGACAAGTCCCTATGCTGTAGTTTTCTCATCTGTAAATCAGGGATGTACCTTCTGCCTTGCTGGGTTGTGCGAATGGGACAAAAAGTTCATGGCAGGATTTGCCACTCAGTGAGTGACTCAGGGGAAGAGAGAGGAAGGGACTGGAGATGGGATTGCTAAGATTCTTCTTAAGTCCAGGTTCTTCTATCACTCAGGGCCCCCAAACCCTGAGACCCATCCTCCTTTGGGAGAGGACTTGGCCTTTATGTAGCAGAATATCAAATCCAACAAAGATCAGAGAAAAGGTAGTTTTTTTTGGGGGGGGTGTGAGGGGACCTTGGTGGTTCCCCTCCACTATTTCCTCACCGTGTGGTCTTGGATGAGACCTTTGTCTTCTCTGGGCCTCAGTTTTCCATTGGTTGTTATAAGCTCCTTGCTGTGGTTGTTGCATGTCTGCCTTTTGCCTCTCTCAGGAGGTTTCTGCTTTGCTCAGCCCTTTCCTCAAACTCCACTCTGCCAGTTCCGGAAGTTGTGGGGGCCTGAGGAATGTGTCTGGCTCATGGCCCAGAACAGGCACAGGGAGGAAGCGGGGGCTGATGGAGAATGCCATGCTGAGCTGAGCCCCAGGCCCGGATTCTGACAGGTTGCCTTTGTTTCCCCAAAGGGGTCTCCAAGAGGCCACAGAAGCAAACAGGCTCTGGGGCCTGGGTGATCTTTGGCATTTTTGTGGTCCCAATCTCAGTTCTCTCTGTTTGTTGGTTTTTTTTTTTTTTTTTGGTGGTACATGCCCCTAGTGGGAACCGAACCCGGGACTCTGGTCTGCAGGCTGACGCTCAACCGCTGAGCCAAACTGGCCAGGGTTCTCTTTCTGTTTTTTTTTTTTTTTAAGTTTTATTTTATTTTTTTAATCCTCACCGAGGAGATTTTTCCATTTTTTGTTCAGGTAGAGTGGGAGGGAGAGAGAGGAACAGAGAAACATAGACGTGAAAGGGACACATCAAGTGGCTGCCACCCGCATGACCAACCAGGGCCGGGGACAAACTGCAACTGAGGTATGCGCCCTTAGTGGGAACCGAACCCAGGTCTCTTGGGACTGCAGGCCGATGCTCTAACCGCTGAGCCAAACTGGCCAGGGCTCTCTTTCTGTTTTTAAAAAAATATTTTTAAATTGAGTTTTTAGAGAGAGGAAAGGAAAAAGAGAGAGAGAGAGAGAGAGAGAGAGAAACATTGATCGACTGTCTCCTACATGTGCCCTGACCAGGAATCAAACCCACAACTCAGGTGTGTGCCCTGACTGGGAATTGAACCCACCACCTTTTGGTGTACAGGACTATCCTCTAACTAACTGAGCCACACCCACCAAGATTCTCTCAGTTGTGTTTTGCTTTTACATTTTAGGTGTATTTATTTAAATGCTACTGGTGCACTTAAAAAAAAAAAAGGATTTTTAGAGAGAGAGAGGAAGGGAAAGGGAGAGAGAGAGAGAAACATTTCTTTTTCTTTTTTGATACATGCACCTGGCGGGAATCGAACCCAGGACTCTCTGGTCCGCAGGCCGATGCTCCAACTGCTGAGCCAAACCGGCCGAGAGAGAGAAACATTGATGCAAGAGCAACGCATCAATCAGCTGCCTCCTGCACTCCCACACCAGAGATTGAGCCTGAAACCTGGGCACATGCCCTGACCAGGAATCGAACCAGCAACCCCTAGATACTCGGGATGACACCCAACCAACTGAGCCACACTGGCCAGGGCTGGTGCACTTTTTAAATATATAGTTTATTTATTTATTTATTTATTTATTTATTTATATTTTGAGAGTACATTTGTGAAAGCTGGGGACAGTGAAACAAAGAAGGGCCTTGGATAGAAGAAGCAGTAGGAGAGAGACTAGGCGGGCTGCTTCGGTTCTCTGGAAACTTGGGAAAGAAGTGAGCTAAGGCGGGGCTGCTGTCAGCTCACTGGAGAGTCAGGGAAAAGGGGGCCTTGGGGACAGGTTCCAGGGGTTAGCCCATTGCTACCCTGGTTGCAAGTCTCGTGGGGATTCTTAGAGTTTAGGAGCTGTGGGGGAAGAAGGGAAAGGGAGAGGCGCCGGAGTGCTCCCAGGAGGGAGAGTGTGCCTATAGTGTATATTTTTACAAAGCTGACTCTGCACTGTTGGTCCCTAAAAGCTTAAGTACATTAATCATATTTTAACAGTAAAGTTAAATAACAAGATCACACATAAATGATATGGATATAAGAGACTTTTCCTCCCAGATGCCTCATTACTTTGATATTTATAGCCGGTAATGCAATTTGAAACAGTTGAAATTCATCAAACTGTCATATTTTGGTTGACTTGAAAAGCTCTTTTAGTTTTTGCTGTTTGAAAGGTTAGTCTGTAGATGGTAAAATTTCTACTGTAGGTACATTTCTAATCCACACTGAGGTCCCCTCAGTCCCTCATCCTTAGGTTGAGAATGTCTCTATCTGGGTTCTCAGTGTGGATCATTCTGAGTGTTAGATGCTTGAAGCATCTCTTGGTTTAGGAGCTAATACCCAAATCTTTCATCTAACTCATTCACTCCATTCCTTCCTCACTAAGTCAAGAAACATTTGCAGACACCTACTGTGTGCCTGGTGTACAGAGCATTGAGTCAGAAGCTAAACTAGACCCAAGCCTTCTCCTGAAAGTTCACCGTCTGCTGGGAGAGAGAAAACATAAACACTCTCTTCTACACAAACTATTTAAAAATCAGTTCCTAAAATCCTGTCTTCTCTGTGGTGAATCTATGACCTTGGGTAAGACCCTTGCCTCCTCTGGGCTTCAGTTTCCTTATCAGCTGGGGTTAGACTAGATCAGAGATGACCAAATGGCTTTCATTATGAGTGTCACCTCTGGTGGTCACAGGGAGTTCCATATTTAGAGGATTGGGACCAATCCTAGACTCAGCAGAAAGGAGCTGGAAATGATTAGCAAGGTCTACCATGGATATGGCAGGTAAGACAAGTAACATGTGTACCATCCCAGGCCAAGGGTCTTTCTAGTGCTTATATTCTCTGAGACTTTTTTTTTTTTAATCCTCACCCGAGGACGTTTTTGCATTTATCTTCAGATAGAGCGGGAGGGAGAAAAGGAGGAAAAGAGAGAGAGAGACATCGATGTGAGACACATCCACTGGCTGCCATCCACATGACCCCAACTGGGGTGGGCAACAAACTGCAACCGAGGTATGTGCCCTTAGTGGGAACCGAACCCAGGTCTCTCTCGTCCACGGGCCGATGCTCTAACTGCTGAGCCAAACCGGCCAGGGCTCTCTGAGACGTTTTATAAGGCAAGATCTTTCCTTGGCTTGTGTGGGTGACCTGAGAAGCCTGGAGGATGTGAGGGAGCTAAGATGTTGGGCTGTGGCTGGTGCTTGAGATTTGGAGGAGTTTGTGGAGAAGGTAAGGACTAGACAGTGCTCTTGGGGGCCTCTCTGGGCCTACGTTCTCTGCTAGAACCCAATCACTGGCCACATTGTTCTGAACTTCCCTGCTTCCATCCCACTCGTAGGCTACCTTCAAGGGGCCGTGGAAGGGTAGCCTGTCCTTTGGATGGGAACTTGGTAGGGAGCTGGGCATCTTTCTTGAGGCCTGGGTCTTGATGGGTACAGAGCTCCCTGATTATGTCACAGAGGGACAGATATCACTGGCAAACTCTGGGTGTCAGGCAGATCCCTACTTCTCTGGCCTAATTCAGGGTTTCAGCTGGGCATCACCAACCCGAACCTGTTTTCTGGACCTATTCCTCTTCGAGGTCAGGGGTTGGCACAAATGTCTTGAGCCTGTTCTCAGTCACAGGGATGTGTTTGTGACAAAAGCCTGTGACCAAGCTGGCAGCCAACACGCCTCTGTCTGCTGCTTAGAGAGGCTCATTGTGTGCACAGACCTGGAGCCAGGGCCAGCCTGGGCCCTTGGAGACCAGGCCTGTGGGAAAAGGGGGGACAGCCAAATGCCTCCCCTCTCTCCACCTCCAGTGTGGCTGGCAAGACAAGGGTAATGGTGAGCCTGTAAAGCATTAAAATATAATACTAAAGGACAGTACAAATTAATAAAGAAAATTTTGGCACTTTGTACAAAGGAAAGTACATCCCACATGAAGATCAGGCTTTTAAAAGATACAGGAATATTGCCCTGGCTGGTTTGGCTGAGCAGAGGGGCACATACCAAAAAAAGAAAAGAAAAGAAAAGAAAAAAAAAAGTATTTGAAAAAAAAAAGATACGGGAATATGTAGTGCTTACAGCCCTTTTTAAAAGGTCTTCTGGTTTTTACTGAAGGCCCTAAAAAAAAAAAAGATACAGGAGTAGAGTAACATGTACATAAAAGGCACATACTGTAATAGGAATTGCTACAATCCTTGTGTTACAAAATCATCAAGGTTTTTTTTTTTTTATCCTCACCCGAGGACAATTTTTGCATTCATCTTCAGATAGAGCGAGAGGGAGAGAGGGAGGAAGAGAGAGAGAAACATTGATGTGAGAGAGACACATCGACTGGCTGCCACCCACATGACCCCAAGCAGGGCTGGGGATAAACTGCAACCGAGATACATGCCCTTAGCAGGAACTGAACCCGCATCTTTCTGGACCGTGGGCCGACGCTCTAACTGCTGAGCCAAACCAGCCAGGGCAAGTCATCAACGTTTATAGAGAATAAATAACTTTCTTCAAGTCATACAACAAATAAATTGGCAGACTCAGAATTCAAACCAAGTCTCTCTGGTTGCAGAGGCCAATATTGCCTCAGCCTTGAATGATATCTACCTTGTATGGTTATTTGCAAGATTCAA